GTAATGCACCGAGAACTGCGGACGTGCATCAGCTGCGCTTGTTCCTTGACACTTTCCACTTCCTCGATTTCTGATGAATTTTATAGCAGACCACACAGGAGACTACGACAGCCAAGAGTGGGGGTGGTATAAGGGACATAAAAAGCATTAGAGGAAATGAAAATAGCAAAGTCCAGCAGGACAGTCCTGCTATAAGACCCAACTGAAAAAAGCTACCCGTAAAGCAGGAAGCTCTAGGATGTGTATAGGCAGCCAGAGAACCGATGAAAGCAGCGAATTCAAGTTTTTTACATTTCAGTTTTTGTATTGATTAAACAAATCAGATATAGCATGTAAATTAGAGGGCTTTAGAGGTGCCAGTGGGCTATACCTTTGGACAAAGCAAGACTAGCCAGTTTCCAGCCTTCATGCTAAGCTAAGCTACTGGTTCCAGCCACATATTTACCATGTACACATGTGCAAAAAAGGAATCTCATGAAAGTAAAAAAAAAAAAAAAAGCATTGTTTTTGGGGAAATTCAACCCAGAGAAGGCCACACTCTCATTGCCCAGAATTCAAAGACTACAACCGTATGACTAGGAAATAGAACACATTGTGGTAAAGTGTAGCGTAGCAGTCACCCTGTCACGACTTCCCTTATCAGAAATGAAAGAAAAAGGGTTTGTCAAACCATATGTGGACGTATGACACTGGACGACACTGAACCCTCGATTGACAGAGGAACAAACACTAAAACAGCAGTGGAAACAGGAACATGGCCAAACCAAACCAACCAGGACACTGCTGCCCAGAACTTGGAATGACTATTGTACTCAATTCCCTTCCACACAGTCATTAAAGAGTTAACAAAAATATGAGCTCACTTTAGATATTCTCTGGAGGTCATTACAGACAATGGCAAGCTGTTTGTAGGACGGCTTTTTAAAACTTTCCTGACATGTGGAATCAAGAACAAACGTGCATCACTACATTATCCAAGATCAGATGGGAAATTAAAAGGGTTTCACAGATATCTGAAGAAAGGCTTCAGAGCAGCTGAACATGAAGGAAAGAAATCAGTGCCGGCAAATGCTAAGGGGGCCGTCCACCTAGGGGGCGCCACAATGGGGGAAGAAAAAAACAAACAAAAAGGTGCAACTTTCAATATTTCTATACTAAAACTAGTTGGTGCTATTATTTCTTAGTATGAAAAAAATAAGCCCACATTAATTTAACTGCATAGCAAAGCCTATTAAATAATAATAAGACTTTATGAAGCCCCCCCCCCTCTGACTCATTAGACTGTAAATAGCGTTAGCTCGTTTTAACCTCAGTTCATGTTATGGAGGGGCCAATAATATATATAATACTCCCACCTTCTGTTTCTCAGGGACATTTGTAAAGATTAGATCTGTTCAGCAGCTGTTTCCATTTGTCTACATTTTATTTGTATTTATTATTGTTTAGTTAACGTTTGCTCTGCTTGTTACAGTCACACACCTTTATATATTAGAGTTGTAAGCGTTGTTGTTTGTTGTGTTACAGTTCAGTATGTTCTAGTGTGTTTATAGTGTTACACTTTACATCCATGTTAAAGTGCACATCATTAATGTTAATACATTCCCATATGTTATATTATTCTGCAGTTTACTGCTTCTTTGCATTCTGCTCATCAGCATTTCACTGTAATGACAATAAGATTCAATCTAATCTAATTTGCATATCAGAAGAAACTGCACTGTATATCATTCATGTACAGTACAGTGAAAGTAATGCATCTCTTAGGTTGTTCATTTTTATTATTAAATTTTATTCCTGGAATCATTTCTTTTATTATTCGACTGTAACACCCAACAGTGTCACTTACTCCTCTTCCCTCTTCAGATGCGCTGTTGAAATATCTAAATCCACCTCCTGCAAATCCTGAGCCATCTACAGTCATCACTGCTTCAACAGCATCACGTGATCCTCCTTCATTTTATCACAAGCTGACAGTTTTTATTTTGTAGGTAGTTAAATGTTGTACTTTGTGTAGGCTATTTATATTACATTTCTAGTATTATTTATGTCTAATTTATTCTTTTCTTGTTAACTGTTTTGATTGAGCAACTTGTTGTTGTTTGGCTTCTTCCTCTTCCTCTCCTCTGTCCTGCTCAGTGTGTCAGATGTTCAGTTATTCCTCTGCCTCCTTTAATGATAATGGTTCTTGTATTAAGTGTAGTTTATTTACTGCGCTGGAGGCGAGGCTTAGTGAGTTAGAGGAACGGCACCGCACCACGGAGATATCTTTAGCCGCTATAGTTAGCCAGCCCCCGGTAGCCGGTGCGGTCCGACCGAAGGTAGCTTCTGTTAGCCGTCCCCCGGTAGTTCCTCCGGTAGTTCCCCCGGTAGTTCCTCCGGTAGTTCCCCCGGTAGTTTCTCCGGTAGTTCCCGAGCAGCCGGGAAGACAGGGAGGCTGGGTGACTGAGCGAAGGAAGACTAAAACACCGAAGCCCACAGGTCACCACCAACCCATTCATGTTCCTAATACATTGTCCCCACTCAGCGATACACCCGCTGAGGAACCAACTCTGGTTATTGGCAGCTCCATAGTCAGAAACATGGAGTTAGTGAAGCCAGCGGCCATAGTTAAATGTATCCCTGGGGCCAGAGCGGGCGACATTGAATCAAATTTAAAACTGCTGGCTAAAGATAAACGTAAATACAGTAAGATTGTTATCCACGTCGGCGGTAACGACACCCGTTTACGCCAATCGGAGGTCACTAAGATTAATGTGGAGTCGGTGTGTAACTATGCTAAGACAATGTCGGACACCGTAGTTTTCTCTGGACCCCTCCCCAATGTGACCAGTGATGACATGTATAGCCGCATGTCGTCATTCCACCGCTGGCTGTCGAGGTGGTGTCCAGCAAACAATGTGGGCTTCATTGATAACTGGAAGCCTTTTTGGGGAAAACCTGGTCTGATTAGGAGAGACGGCATCCATCCCACTTTGGATGGAGCGGCTCTCTTATCTAGAAATATGGCGAAGTTTATCTCTAAAACCTGACAGTCCAGAGTTGGGACCAGGAAGCAGAGCTGCTGTCTTACACACTTCTCTGCTCTTTCCTTAGAACAGTCACCCACCCAAAACCCCATAGAGACTGTGTCTGTCCCCCGACCACCTAAATTATTTAAAGAAATAAAAACGAGTTCAACATAAAAATCTAATAAAAATTAAAACTAACTCCTCAGTAGCACAAAATAAGAGAATGAAATGTGGGCTGTTAAATATCAGGTCTCTGTCCTCTAAAGCTGTTTTAGTGAATGAATTAATATCAGATTATGATATTGATTTACTTTGTCTTACTGAGACCTGGTTGTCCCACGAGGAGTATGTTAGCCTAAATGAATCCACCCCCCAGTCATATTAATACTCACATTCCTCGAGGCACAGGCCGAGGAGGTGGAGTGGCAGCCATATATGATTCGAGTGTTTTAATGGACCCTAAACCTAAACTAAATTATAATTCATTTGAAAGCCTTGTTCTTAGTCTTTCTCACCCAAACTGGAAAACACTGCAGCCAGTTCTATTTGTTATAGTGTACCGCGCTCCTGGACCGTACTCTGATTTTATATCTGAATTCTCAGAGTTTTTATCAAGTTTAGTCCTTAAATCAGATAAAGTAATTATTGTAGGTGATTTTAATATTCATGTGGATGTTAACAATGACAGCCTTAGTAACACATTTATATCATTAATAGACTCAATTGGCTTCTGTCAGAGTGTAAATAAACCAACTCATTGTTTTAATCACACTCTTGACCTTCTATCATATGGCATTGATATTGAACATTTAATAGTCTTCCCACATAATCCTTTCCTATCTGACCATTATTTAATAACTTTTGAATTCATACTATTAGATTATAAGCCATTAGGCAAAACTTCCTTCCTCTCTCTTTCTGCACTCATTCATGTTCCATTAATGCATGTTATAACTTCACTTCTTCCCCGGAGTTCTTGTGCTTTCTCGTCTCGCAGGTTCTTATCGATCCTGGTGGAGCCTCCTGCCATGGTCCTGCTAGATTGCCATTACCAATACTGTTGTTACTGTGCACCTGTCTGTCTGTCTGTCTGTCTCTCTCTTTCTCTCTCACCCCAACTGGTCGAGGCAGACGACCACCCACCTAGAGCCGGAGGATCTGTCCTAGGTTTCTGCCTTTTAACAGGTAGTTTTTCCTTGCCCTTGTCGCCAAGTGCTTGCTCATGGTGGTACTGTTGGGTCTCTGTAAATAATGTTAAAGAGTTCGGTCTAGACCTGCTCTATTTGAAAAGTGTCCTGAGATAACTTCTGTTATGAATTGGCGCTATACAAATAAAATTGAATTGAATTGAATTTACTGCATTGCAAGGGGGCGCCACCTAAAATCTTGCCTAGGGCGCCAAATTGGTTAGGGCCGGGCCTGAAAGAAATTCAGAGTGGAACTCCCTAAGATTCCCCTAGCACATCGCTCAATGCCTCACGGAGCTTCAGGAGAAACAGCAGCCAGGCTCATGCCTTGAAGAGACATCCATACCATGTTACCAAACCTGGCAGCGGAAGATGCTCAGATTACTCCACCAGTCTCAACAGAAAGCTGCATCTGTTTCGGAATAGCAAAGTGATACCAGAGGCACCATAGTTATCAAGAAGCCAGCCAGATCCAGAGAGAACGAAGATAAATGGGGGGGAAAAAATACAGAATCTGTTCAAGTAAATTCTTCAGCATTAAAGGAAAAGAGAATACTGATTCAGTGAAGATTGATATTCCAGATTGATTTTGAAACATGTTGAAATAAGTTTAAGAATAGAGAAATTTAGTTTAAAATGATGTTAGAGAAACAATTTATTAGAAAATCGAATAAATAAAAAACTTTCATTCCAACAAAGGGAAAGATGTAGTGTAGTTGATAACATCGCAGTGTTACATAATAGAGAGAGGGATACAGACAGGAGAGAGTACGGAGATGACAAATGTGAACATAGACTTAAAGAGTTAAAATCAAGAACTGCTTCTTTATTGGACAGTAAAACACACACTAAAGCAGCGAATTAACCTTTTTACATCAACATTTTTGTATGGATTAAACAAATAAGATATAACATGTAAATTACAGGGATTTAGAGGTGCCAAAAGCACATTTTGGACATAGCAAGACTAGCTGTTTCTAGTCTTTATGCTAAGCTAAACTAACTGGCTACTGGTTCCAGCCACATATTTGCCATGTACACTGCAATAAAAAAGCCTTGTTTTTTGTCTAAAAAGAATAACCTCAAGCATGTTTCGCATTAGAAAAGTAATCTGGTATTAAGAAAATATCTCTTACTCTGTCTTAATAAGATATTACAGCTAATATTGAGTTAGATTGAACCAGTAAGCAGTTGCAACAACAGTTTACATAATATCCCAGCAGAGGAACAAGATTATTTTCTTTATTTCAAGACCACTTGCACAACTTCTCAGTTTAAGAGAACGTAGTCCTGTTCCACTGTGCTAAATGAAGCAGCTGTTTAGTTTGTTTATCAAAAATTGATAAATGATAAATATAAGAAGCTTCTGGTTACTTAAACCAAGACATATTTGTATTATGCTGTTTGAATAAATTGTTTGCACAGCTTTCTTAAAATGTTGTACTTTTTCTAGTTTTAGGGCCCGTTACAGTCTTTCAGTGGCTAGATTTATATGCTAGCTTTAAGAATTCTAGCCAAACCCACTGGTAGATTTTTTTGCTCAATACAACAGATGTTGATGATATTTACGAATATTTGGCTTGTTCCTAGAAGGGCTGTTTCGGCAAAAGCTTGATAGAGTGGTATCAAGCTTTTGATTAAAGTCTTTGCAAGAAAGTGAATGAGCACCTTTTCCGATAATGTCACTCTGTTGAGGTCGGCAGCTCTGAATGCCAGATACCTCAGGTTTAAAAACTGTTGTTTTTGAAATGTGACATTAAAACTGAAACTTTACTTTCTGTGCAGACGTGGCGACTCGAAATGTTTATTTAAATGCATTAAGTAGTATATAAAGCACCCCAGAATTAGCCAGTCTGGGCCTGTCATTAAAATATTCAATTCTCTATTTCAAACTGTACAGCAACAACATTGATACATCAGTGTTTTACATGAACACATCATTCATTTCACATTCAGTCCTCAACAGGAAAAAGGAGATCATGGGAACTTAAGTTTGAGATTTTTAGAAATCTAAGCCTAGAACTCATCCTGGGACTCCTTCGTTGTACATTCAGTATAATTATATTCCTTTGTTATCCAAAGTGCAAATCTAATATCCTTCAGGTGCTTTTCAGCTCTCACAACTTCCCTAAGACCAGAAGTTAAATAAATCCTTGCTGAATTTGGCTCTGAGCTGTTTGCTCTCCCAGCAGACAATGGAGTACTGTAAATCAAAATCTTTCATTAAGTCCAAATTGTGGTAGTTATAATCTATTATCTTAACATTCAGCCTATACCCTCGTATCCTCATCTGGTTGCCAACTAAACCATTTTTTAAACCAAGTTCATTTGACAGGGACAATGCCCACTTACCAACAGGTAAACAGATGTAAACCTAGAACGCTAATCTAGTGTCCCTGCCCAAATGTTAACAAAACAAAGACAAAATATAAAAAATATAAAAAAACATCTCAGCAGTGACATCATCAGGGGGCTACAGGTGACAGATCCTCGGTTATTCTTTAGGGTAGATCGTTCAGTTCAACAGAGGCTGCTGCCCCAAAGCCGAGGATGATGCATCCAATGTAATGTTATAAAACAGTAGACATTCCTCACGTCCTCATACAATCTGAGAGCAGCAAGTGTTGTAACAATGCAAGGTAAATGCTAAAACAATGAGTTGTTACAATAGTCTGCAAACCGCTTTAGTTCATATATAATCTGCTATAGCAGCTATACAGCTTGCCGCTCTGTACTACTGAGCTACCAAATGGCGGCTCATTTCCACTGATGCTCTGCTGCTCGGGTTACAACAATTGCATGTATCCAGAGGTTTTCAGTGGCAAAAATGGTGATGCTGGTGTGTGTAAAAATACAATGGTGATAAGGAAATGGAAGGTGTCTAGAATATTGATATGAATGTGAGTTTAGCTTTATGTGGTAACTCACTAAACTGTCTGCATAACAGCACATAGACCTTGTGAAACTCAATTTCCGGTCAGTCTGTGCCAAGCACCCTCCCAAGATTCTCCTGGCTAAACAGTAAGTGAGTCTCCCATTTTCTTTTTTTTGTGCCAGTAATCGGGAGACTTTCAGCTGTTGCCACTGCAGAGGTGTGTCCGGATTAAGGTTTGTTGATTTCAGGATCTAACACCAGAGTTATCTTACAGCTGTGTTCTTCCTCTGCTGGGATGTACAAGTTGCAAACAGTGCTCTGTGGGGGAAAAAAAAGGACAAGGACAAAATGATAGCATGTGAGTACATAGTGTGGCATTTTGAAAAGTAGCGGTGTAGCTGCAGACTCTAACGCTAACGCCCCTATCAACAAACACACAGTCACCTTATTGTTGTTGTCAGAAATATCGCTGAGGAGATCCCGTGGTTCTGGTACTTTGGGGAAGATGTTGTTCTTATTCCTGTACAGAGAGAGTAAAATATCAGAGGCAAATGAGAAGACATGTGAAATGAATAGGAGCCAAGCAAGGAGATAAAGACTTGACATACTTCATGCAGCAAACCAGCATCAGGGCTGCCAGGCCACTCAACAGCAATGGGATGATAAGGACAGCATACAACGCTTCAGGAGCTTTGTCTCTACCTGCACGCCAAACCAGCAGCAACATTAGATCAGCTGAGAGCGACTAATACAGCTAGTGTTTTACACCTAAAAATGGCAACAAAACAAAAACTACATATATTGGCTTTATACTGCTGGGCGTTTCATTTTCTAAAAAAAAAACACTTCAACAAGCGAAACAAGAGAAGACAGAGAGACAGAAAGATTATGACCATACCAAAACAAGTCCTGTTGGTCCATGGTGTCTCTCCTCTCTCATAGAACATCTGTGCTTTAAGAGAGATACAGTACCGACAAGAAGGATCTATGTCCAGTTCATATGAATTTACGCCAGAAAAGGGTTTGAGCTGTGAGAAAATGAAGGGATAATTGTAATAGTGATACAGTAATGAATATGACAATATGACTCAATTCTGTGGAAGCAAACTATAGCTGTTATTATGAATTAGACCACTACTGTTACCACAATGTCGAAATTTAAACGGCACTAATTTAAAACACTGCTCTGGGAACAGTGAAGGTCAGTATTAAACTGAGATTGAGATATTTCAGTGGATAAGTAGAAACCTTTACCATAAGTATTGTATATTTTATATTTTATTGTCTATCTTTTTAGCATTAGTAAATGTCTTATCTGTTGTGAAATTGAATGTTTACTTTTAGTATTAGGAAATGTCTTATCTATTGTGCCTGTGCACTTTATCTGTTTCACCGTGGGAGAGTGAGAAACGTCCTCTCGATTCTTTTGTATGTCTGGTGCATGTGAAGCAATTGACATTAAAGCTGACTTTGAATTGACTTTGAACTTTGACTATGTGGTGGCGCTACAGGAAAAGTCAGGGGATCACCGACATCACTATCTCAATCCATCCAATAGTTGTTTAGATGTTTAGATTGTTTAGATCAATTCTCATTCCCAGGGCATTAAATACCAGCGTTACTCCGTTACATACATTCATGTAACATACTTATCTAAACCTAAACCGTGATCTTTTCCTAAACCTAACCAAGTCATTTTTCGTTGCCTGCAGCTAACTGAACTGCAACCGTTTCACAACATCAGACCTGTCATGACTCATACAGATGCTATTTTGACATTCAAGTGTCCAATGTTTCATCGACTCCAAAACGCACAAATTCATATAGATGGTTTGACAAGTAAAATATTTCAAAGCCAGAACTTCAGTAGAGGGCTGTTAGGTTAGTTAGGTATTCAGTTGCTTGTAAGATGCAAATGAGCACAGCTATTATTTGCATCCATTGAATTCCTATAAGATAAACAGACTAAACTAGACACAGCTTCCATGTAAAGACGTTAGAGACAAACTACAGACAACAAAACAAAATATTGTACCATTGTGTCTCTTACCACTTCTTTATTGCACTTGGTGACATTAAGTAGAATCTTCCAGTCAGAGGGATGAAAGATGTCAGGAGTAGACCAGTTAATACTTAATTTATTCCCATAATAAATTAATCCCCAGTCAGGTGCAGGAAGGTTCACTGTACAGAGAAAGACACACAGAGAGATAGTAACTCCAATCCAGACATACACAGTCCAAAAATACTGAAACAGTCTCTTAAAAATCCCTGAAAGAACTTGTTTTTGCTTTCCTAAAATAGCGACATTGTGTGTTCTCCAAGTTCTACGTTTTGGATTGTGTCATACCCCACATTACACAAGTGCATACACACAGACAGACACACTAACTGCTAAAAAGATTTCCGAGGAAGGACAGGCAGCAACTTCTCTTATAATTGTGAGACTGAATGGGGAAGAGCAACGTATTTCAACATAATGTTTCCACCATTACCCTTGCTTGCTTTAATCTGGAAGGTGTTCCTGGCAGGCTTGTTGTCCACCGTTGCATTAAATACGATGTGGATACCCTGATTCACATTGCTCTGCAGATCACAACCAGTCCTGACCCCGTTACTGGGGGTATACGATGAGCACTCCAGGTATAGTATAGTGGTATGGTTCAAGTCACTGTAAGCCTTTCCAGTGAAATTCTCTTCTGTTAAACTTGGGAAGATGGAGAAAAAGGTAATTTACTTTCATGCCGCACGCTATTCCTGAAATCCTACAAGTAGAGGTAAATTAATGGAACAAACATTTACGAACAACAAACTCAGATAAGGCCAAGTTAAAGGAATAGTTTGACATTTGGGGAAATTCACTTATTCTCTGTCTTGCTGAGAGTCTGATGAGAATATCAACACCAATCATATGCCTGTCTGTTAACACACACACTATATCCTGTGTTGGCAGCCTCATGTTGAGGACAAGACTGCTCTTTCTTTAAACTAGAGGGACTTCAAAACTAATGTGTTTTTAGTTATGGTTGGCTGGCAGTAACAGCTTGCTCTTAAATTAATGTGACATTACCAAACATGGCTTGGGCTTAGAAGAACTCACATAGTCAACAAACACTGCCTAAACTCAAACTGACACCCACCAGAAGCCTGGACGGATAAAAAGCTGAGCCATGAGGAATCTGGCCTTAATTGAACCCTAGTTCATTGCCCATTAGGTTTCAGTCTGACTCTTATGTGATGAAATCAACCACTAGGTATCAGGAAATATTGCAATACAGTCTACGGACATATACTGTGTAAGGGTGATTTTCAGTTTACTAATTACTCTGTTTGAATCTACTCCACTGCTTCCTTACGCCCTTTCAATGTGTGAGCACAAAAAGGGACCAAAAACAAAAACAAACCCCACACTTACAAGTAGAAAAAAGTGAGATTCGATGCATGACTGACTGGGATCCAGGAGCAGTAACTTTGTGTGGAGGAGTAAATGTAGCACTGCAGATCTCTCACCAGTTCTGGGAGAAACACAGACATATATGCACACATCTCAATGAACAAACAAATACACAGTGCAGCCCATATATGGCTCAGGAACTCGAGCAACATTTATTTGTCTATTCAAAAAGCATTCAAACTTTGAGAACAAAATAAAGTCTTATCAAGGGTAGTGGTGAGAAAAATGAGTAACCTGGGTAAGTGATGTTGATGTCAAACGGTTCACTCTCGTTCTTATTACAGACAGTTTTAACAGTCAAGAACAGATCTCCCCCGTCCATCGCCTCATAAAACCTCCAGAAGGGGTCTGACAGTTGCTGAATCCACCAAGAACAGAAAGATGGACAAAAAGCACCAAACCATCATCATCATCATCATCATCATCATCATCATCATCATCATTAACACTGAGGCAACTCACTGTTACACGGCTACAGTCAGAAACGCAGTTGTAGAGTTGTTTCAGAAAAAACACACACTGGCCATTTATCAGTGTAAGCAGGAATATACTACCATATGCAGTGTTATGGATCCTCTATGTGTTCTTCATAGATTTTGGGCTTAAATGTTACAATGTTACTTATGGCAGACAGTTAAAAAATGATCAGATGCAAAATGATATATTATCTAATACACACTTGTGCAAAGGAGACTAGATAGAAAGAAGGTGCATTCAGGCACATTGGTCATACAGGTAATTCACGCAGGTCATATATGATAAAATCTATACATTTAAAAGCCCTTTGTGTAGAATTGAAATATTAGCAAAAGGTATAACACAACTAAGTACATTTACACAAGACCCAGACTTCGGAAAGCTTTTGAGGAACTCACACTTTCATTTGTTGCTGCTTCCTACTTTTACTCCCCTATGATTCCGCCAAAAGCTGCCATTTGATTTCTTTTATATCTATAGTTACTAGTCTTTGCAAAATAAGACTGTATATATAAAACACATGATTAAATCTGAAATATGATACTGTCTCACAGACTGAGTTACCCAACAGTTTATGAAGTAGTTCAAATTTGAGCCATCCTGATCAGCTACCACAAGTTCTGCTTAAACATTTATGAAACATTCAATTTAATGCTGATACCTCTATACAACCTACATAAACAAACCCTCATTCTTTTTAAAGCACTTTTATTGCCTATTATAGTGACAGCTGACAGACAGGAAGGGGGGGGCAGAGAGAGAGGGGATGACACGCAGCAAAGGGCCGCAGGTCAGACTCGAGCCCTGGGCCGCTGCAGCAAGGACTCAGCCTCGGTACACTAACCGGGCGCCCTAACAAACCCTAATTTTCTTATGCATGGTTGGATTCAGACGTCTTTCTGTCTTTCTTCAGCTGTCTCTATCATAAAGGCAATATAAGCCCAAAAAATACCTTGAAAAAAAAAAAACGGATAAAAAAAAACTGATAAAAACTAAACATTTTTAAACAGTACAGACCAAACTTACTCTGGAAACTAACTGAAACTAAACTGAATTAAGAATGAAAATATAAACTAATGAAAAATACAAAACTATGATGTGATGTGCAGATGTGCAGAACGTAGAGATGACATAAACTTCAGTAAGTTGAAAATGGCTCTGCTTAACGCAGGGATTTTTTGTTACAGAGCAGCTGTGTTTTCAGTAAATATTTAAACTGCTAAAATTCTTCAGTATCCTGCACTCTAGGGTACTATTATAACTGGTGGGATACTCTGATGCAGGTGTTACAGGAATCCCCAAATCAGATTTAAAGGGTATCATAAAGTTGGATTGATCAAACCTTTAAAGAAAAGCATTTATAGTTATTAAATAGAATTACTGAATACACAAATATATGCATACTCACATCCAAAGTTTGGCTATATGGCTTCTTGGTTTTTTTTGTCACCTCATATACGCAGTTCTCGTGACCCTGATGTGGTAACCAGGACAACTGTAGGACAAAATCATGAATCCACACTACGGACACATTTTGTGGTTTTAGGATTTGGTCTTAAGTAGAGAAAGAGAAAAAACAGAAATGTGATGACAGTTTTATTTTTTGTACCTTTAATTAGTATGACACACTGGCAACCTAAATGTTATAGTCTTAATTAGTGTTGACTAGGGCAGCACAATTAATCAAAATATTACTGAAATGGCAATATGGTGCAATATCCAAATCGCAGAAGCTGCAATTGTTTGATGAAGGTAAAGTGTGACAAACAGCATTAGAATGAAGTACAGGGTTGCTGCTGGCCTACGAGTCTTGTTCTTAAGATATAATACTTTCATGCTAGTTTGACACGTATGCAAAGGTTCAGGCAAATAACATATGGTGATATATGGCATTTCCCACAATGCAGGAGAAGACTACACAAAGTACTCATTAAGTACTGAAGGTAGGACACCCAAACCATTGCACATGCCACAATGATGTTGTTAGTTTTATTCAGTGTATGAAATGAAATGTAACTAGTCTTGTGCTTCTTTGACTCTTGTTTACAGAGCAGTGGGATTATGTGTACCTCCGGAAGAACAGCTCTGCTGTGAGGAAATTTCCCGGACTCAAAACTTTATGTAGCTATCCAAACCAACAGCTGACAACCTGCCCTGTTTGGAGCCAGTCTCTAGGAGAGAAGAAATATCTTTCCCTGCGTGGCTTCGAGAAAATAGTTATGTTCAAACCTGAAGTCACAGACCATGTTTATGTGGTGGGCAATGACCCCCCCGCTACAGCTTCCTGTGTTTTTTTTCTCTATCTAAAACATTTCCACGTCAGCTCTGTTTTGGAACACATAAATTCGCTCAGTAAACTGAACCTATTGATTTTGTTTGTTTTATATATATATATATACATTATATATGTAGTATTTTGTTGAGCTTGTTGTCCTGTTTATTTATGCTCATTCTGTGTATGTACACTGAGAGCAACTTAGAAACCGGAGTCAAATTCCTTGTATGTGTACACATTCCTGGCCAATAAAAGGGATTCTGATTCCCACTCCCCCTGGCCCCAGTATTTCTCACCTGTGTCTCATTCTCCAAACACTGTCCGTATTGATACCAACTCACTTTCCTCTGCCTGAGTGTCAATGTTGTTCCTGAACACTGAACCAGAACCAGAACCAGAACCTGTTGATAGCTGCCTGTCTGTCTGGAACTCTTCCAGTTATTCTGGGTTCTCGGCACTTCTGTTTGGGTGTGCTGTACTTTTCTTTGAACCTCATGTGTCATCTGAAATTTTCCTCAGCAGTTCCTGGATGTCTGCATTTGGGTCACCTTCCTCGCGGCCAGCTGTACACAGCCTGTGAGCATATCTGAAGGTGGTTTATATGGTTCTTTAGTGTCACAGCACAGCTTTGTACCCTCTCGCTAGGTCTTTCTGTGACGCCTGTCCTCCTGCCTCACACTGACCAGACGTGACGTCAATAAATTACCGGGAATAAGCGTCACGTTCGTACTTGGAAGTCTGTGCAAGAACGGGATAATTCGTCCAGGAGCTAAGGTTAGGTTATGTTACGACACAAACGGTGGGAGAATGTAACACTTATGTGTCTTATCTTACCTGTTTTGGCCGCTAACAAGAGGCAACCTAAAACGTAAAAGTCCAAACGTTGAAAAATTCCTGTCATCCTTTTCCTCAAAATGTATTTATCCACAACCGTCGGTGTGAGGGATTCCCCGTTCCCGTTCCCGAAGACGAACGTCTGCTGAGGTGTCCGGTTTCTACAAAAAGGAAGAAAGTAGCTGGTCCGTGTTTGAATTCGACTTTCGTTTCCAGCTTATTATGAGGCGGAGGAGGACAGGAACAGTTGGAGGCTGGAAGTTGGGCGGAGAGCTTCCTTTTTTGACAGGGACGTGCGCGCCCACACGCACGGTCGCTCAGGCAGTAGACAGTGCTGATAATGAATAGCCTACAGTATATTGTTACTACACAGGGGGATAACAAGATCACAGTTTAAGTTTGAGTCATGAGTTGAGTTCTCATAGAATCGGTATTTTTCCTTCAGATCATAGACGGTGACAACAATGCAACAACAGGAACAGGTGGACTTTTTAAAGGCTAATAAAATATTTGCTGTAGGTTATATGACTCATTGTCGTTTCCACTTTGAATGTGACCAAGTTCAAACAGCCCATTGAAGGAAACTCTTTGTCTAAAAAGACAAATTATCATGCTGGAAGAGATAAAATGTCATCCTAAAAGTTCTTATTTGTGGTTTATAACTGATGTTTGAAGTATCAGTGTAATGACATTAGTGTGATTAAGTGATATGACTATTACAACTCATAAATCCTCTTGGATTGTGGTTGATATATTTGCAGCTTTCTTTGGATGAAATGTGTTCAAGTTGTGACCTGCCCGCTGACAGGAAGATACCTAAATAACATCTACAAGCTGAGACAAGTCAATTTTCATATGAAAGCGAACACAAAGAAGGGTGAGACTGAACTGAATCACTGACTGTGGAGCATGCCATAGGCAATCACAATTACGTAACACTGAAAAACATTTTCACTTTCTCTTTCTTTATTCTCAGTTAAAGGAGTAAAAATCATGAACAATCAGCTAACAGTGTTGGCAAATTCAACAAAGCAACTAAACGTTAAAATAAGCTTAAACCTCAGTTTAAGGAAGCAGGAGGGTGTGACTAATGGTGATATGGCATTTTACATTTGGGTGTGTTGGTTGTTGAGGAAGTACACTGAAAATTACACAGAATCAGACTGACAGACAAGATGTGATCGCTCTAATGTATGCTCAGATGTTGATAGAGATGCAATTCTCTATCGTTGTTCTTTTCCAAAGAGGTGTAAGTTGTGTACGGAGATTAAAAATGCTTCTCAACACCACCGCAGGTCAAATTTTCAAGAGACGTATCAGATCAACCATTGTAAGAAGATTGTTACTTCATCCAGAATATACAAGACATTTAGCCTCCAGAGTCCTCAGTGTCTGCCAGCAAACTTCATGCAGGTCAGTTAGTTTCCTGTGTGAATTAACAGTAGAATTCCTAGTGACATGCATGTTAAGTTGTTTTCCATTAGATATTAAAAATTACACCATAGCCATACCGCTTCATTACACTTTAAATGGAGTCTCTTTCTGTGTTTTTTGGATTGGATGAAAGGATTTCCAGCACAGGCAGCTATCTGCCTTGCACTCACTCCATCGGTTCCTTATAAGTCAGTGTTTTTTTATCCATGCAAACTAGATAACTTTGTTTTGCTCATTTGGTGTACAATATGTGTATGGAGGAGGAGAGCCACTGTAGCTCTTGGCTTCCTGTGCAGTCCTGGGATCACCCTCAGTGGTAAGAAGTACAGTCTGTACCGAGTTTGTACCACTTTAGCTTATTGCTTCCTGCCCATTGTGCACATGCTTTGATGCCAGTCATCCCGACATCTGCTCGCCATTCCTAAAAACAAGACTCATGCTGTGACAATGCATGAGCCTCATTTTAGTCTTTCCCTTCTTCCTATTTCGATTTTGTGATCTCTTAATGTGTACAGTAGATACTCAGGGGTACACCAGCTCCTCTTACAGGTCTTGTGGTTCTCAGTCAATACAGCCTCCGCTAGCCCACTGGCAGTCCTCCACTCTATCCAACCAAACACACAGCACTAATCTTCATCTTCCTCCTCAGTGCTTCACAGGGGGATATCAGCACAGCGCAGATGTGACAGATTCTCTGGTCCTGTTTCTATTTCTGGGTGCATAGCTGGGCAGCTCCCACGATACAGTGCAGCTCCATATCCTGTCCTCGACAGGCCTCAGCAGCGTACATATGCACTTCCTCAGAGAGTAACTTAATAGCTGCTGAAAATTAGATTTTTGCTGACCTCTGGTGGCTGACATACTCAGGTCAGTACAGTAAAAGGTGCAGAGTTCAGAGTTCGCTCCTGACCTCACCTGTCGGACGTGCAGCAGACCTGAGAGTTTCAACCAGAAGGGAAACAAAGCTTTTCAAACTGGTGTTAAATTACTGTGTTAATGTTCCTGATGAATTTGCCCTGAGTGGAAGTCCAGCTTCACAGCAGGCATCGCTGCGAACATGCATGTGTCAGTAGTTTTGCTGGATGGCACTACTTTCGGTTACAAGGGTTATTCTGCAGGGTTCAATGGGTTCTGGTACCGGTGAGTAGAGACTGCTGGTTGTAGTCTGAAAAACAAAACAATGTGATGACTGTAAGTAAAGTAAGTAAGTAAAACTTACTTAGCACCTTTTTGACACAGAGATCCAAAGTGCTTTCCAAACATCAAATAAATAAACATAACACACAAAAACACAAACATAGAGAGCATGTAAAAACAAACAAAGGAAGATAAAACAAAAGGGAGGGATAAATTAAAAGAGACACGACAGAAGAGAAAACAAACAGGGAGATCTATAAAAAGGCCTGTAGAGGTGGGTTTTGAGCAGCTGCTTAAAACAGTCCACAGATTCAGTGAATCTGAGTGATTGTGGAAGACTATTCCACAATGTTGGGGCTAGAACAGCGATGGCACAGTCACCTTTAGATTTTAGAGAGCGTGGAACAGATAAAAGGCAGAGATTTGAGGAGCGGAGTGGCCGAGGAGTGGAATGAGGAACAAGGAGATCTGAAATGTAACTGGGGGCAAGGTCATTAAGTGCCTTATATGTAATCAGTAAGATCTCATAGTTGATTCTGAATTTTACAGGAAGCCAATGAAGGGATGCAAGAACAGGAGTAATGTGGGACAGACGGCTGGTTCTGGTTAAAAGTCTGGCTGCTACATTTTGGACTAACTGTAATCGGTTTAACAAAGCCTGACTGAGGCACGTTTAGAGGGAGTTGCAGTAATCTAGACGGGAGAAAATGAAGCTGTGAATTAATTGTTCCAGATCACTGGAGGACAGGAATCTTTTGATTTTTGCTACATTTCGTAGCTGCAGGAAACAGGACAGTTTTGTGACATGAAGGTCAAATGTCATATGCTGGTCGAAGATGATACCCAGATTCTTAGCAGTGGGTTCGATATTAGTGCGTAGTTGTCCAATAAACTGATCAACTGCAGTGACAAACTTATCAGGGCCAAAAAAAATGATTTCAGTTTTATAAGGATTTAGGTGGAGAAAATTAAGAGACATCCATTCTTTGGTGGCAGCTAAACACTCATGGAGAGAGGACAGTTGATTCAGGTTATTGGGTTTCGCAGAAAGGTAGATCTGTGTATCATCCGCATAACAAAGGTATGACATGTCATGGAAGCAGGTGAACAAAGGAAGGAATGTACAGGGAAAACAGAACTGGACCAAGAACCGACCCCTGAGGGACATCACACAGCAGGGGACCGTAGGAGGAAACATGATTATTAATGCAGACATTAATGTCTTTAGACATTAAAGACATTAAAGACTATTAGTCAAGTAGGAATGAAACCAGTTTAAGGCTGTACCAGCAATGCCAACCCCGTTCTGTAATCTATCCAGTAAAATGGCACGATCGATGGTATCAAAGACTGCAGTCAGATCGAGAAGAATAAGGATGGAGCTTTCACCTTTGTAAGCATGCATAAGAATGTCATTAGACACTCTCAGTAATGCTGTCTCGGTGCTATGTTTTTGGCGAAAACCAGATTGGAATTTGTCCAAGATTCTATGACCTTCTACCAGCTTCAGGAGCTGGTCCGCGACAATCTTTTCAAGGATTTTAGATAAAAAGGGAAGTTTGGAGATAGGTCTATAGTTTTCTAACTGGTCTGGATTGAGAGAGGGTTTTTTAAGAAGTGGCTGAATACTGGCAAGTTTAAAGAAGTCAGGTTTGTACGTTTGTGGAGAGAGCAGGTGAGTAGAGCATAGACATTTTTTTTTTTTAATACCTTAAGTTCTTTGTTTCCGTTCATCATCATTTCCTTGAATATTGCTGAAGGATCTGGTATGTTGGGGCAAATAATTTCCCTGTGCCTACAAACAGACACACCACAACAAGAATGTCAAAGACAGAAAGCAACAACAAACAAACAATGTTTCCACCCCCAAAATCGAGAAGAATGCTTGTGTTTTGTCTTTAAAAAATCCATGTGTGTTCTGACTGGGACATGCAAAACTGTTTAAGAAACAGCAGCTTCCTGTGACCTGTTAGTTTCAGTGTTCTCCTGCTGGTGGCAGGCTAGGGGCAACCAAAATGATTAGGATTAGGGTTAGGTTTGTTTGTTCATGTTGATGGGCGTTTTCTGACAATTATTAGGTTGTTAGTTTTTGAGAAAGCTTCTGCAAAAATCTCTGTGACATGTTGTCACTGCTGCAGATTTCAAATACTGTTTCACAAAGAAACTTCATATAGAAACTGCTGTTGGCATACGTTAGTAATGGACATCTTTTTCCAGTAGTAGAACTTTAACGTTGAAGTGGCCACAAGCCAATTTGAGTACTGAGTTTGAGACCCCTGGTCTAGGGACACTTTTTTGGCCGGTGGGTGGAACTCTTTGACTTAGGCCTACACAGCCAACTGTTTCCAAAACATACCTCCTGAAGCAGTAGCAGGACAGAATGATGCAGGCGGACAGAATGATAGGGAGGACAATGGCAACCACAGTCAGTGTCCTGTCAGAGGGCACATGAGTACCTGCGATCAACAATAGAAACATTTTCTTCAGCTTTCAAGAGTTTTTCAAGCTTCATGTGGCAAGCTATATAATAATAGATAATGATAAAATCTTAAGAAATAGTAAATATTTATTTTGTAAAGATAAATTTAAAAGAAACAACAATAACAACCTCATAGTTAAGTCTAGTTAAAGCAACCCAACATTTCACTTTTTTCAAGAATCATTCAAATGGTTTGTACAACCTAGTTCATATAAAATATAAACATTTAATGTAAGACTAAGTGACTTGATATGAATGTGGTTTTAGTGTACTTAATAAATGCACTCTGAGAAAGTAAAATTGGTTGGATAGTTACCATAAGTTACAACTTCACTGGTGTTGCTGATCACTTTGATACAACGTTCAGTAGTGCTGGCTGTGAATCGGAACTCATAAAAGCAGTTTTTAACGTAGGGGACTTTCATCATATTCTCTTCCTTCAGGTCCTGGCATATCTAAAAAACAGTAAGCACACAAAAACATAGTGTTGCTGTCTGTCAGGTATAGAGAGACTATGTGCCACTGGTGAAATAAAGATTAGTTTATTTAAAGGTTTGGTTTTGGTCATTAGTTTTTGCACTATTTTTTGCAAACATCTCAGTGACATGTTGTCTCAAATACTGTTTCACAAAGATATGCTTTACAACATCAACTTTTGAAACAGACTGCAAAATATAGTATAATGCTAGAAATAGACCTTTGTCAAAGCAGAGTCAGGGTGCTGCTATTGTGGATATAAAAACAGACATTGGTGTAGAGGCAACACATTTGTAATTATGAAACAATCAAAGAATGTGCTGATGTTGAATGGAATGAATATCATCTCCACATGATCTTATGATGACGACAATTACAATGCCTCCTCAAACTGCAACACTAATTTAGCCTGAGCCCATAAATAACAGCTCAAATAACAGAGAATTCCTCTTATCACCTATTAAAAGAGGTAGTGGTTGTTGCATGTACAATTAACAATTAACAAACACTACAACAAATGTCAATCTGATCATTAACAATAGGCGGTATGCATGTAGATGTGACCATCTACAGTAGTTCTAAAATCGATTTGACACCAAAACTTTACTGCAAGTGGTGTAAACAGCTGTTGACTGACGTGGGAGCAAAAATCAAATGGGAGCATTTTTCCGTAGTGCTTTGCATCTGGTAATCCCACTTTGAATTGTTATAGCATGCAGTTTATCTGACCAACAGTCCAGTTTCAAACATCCAGGTTTACGTAATCTGAGTGAGGAGCTAAAATACAATTACAGGACAACATAGTTCAATTCCAGGATATTTGGTAATCTATCTCAATCTATTTCCAGGTGTTTCCATGACTGGAAAACTAGATTTTCCAGGACACGTAGGAACCCTGCTGACATCTAAAAGAGGAGTGGATTTGAAATACAGTAGGCTAATATGACTTTTTTGGGGGGGCCCCATTTGGCCCCAACCACTGTTATAAATGTAAATGGTAGGGACAAATGGTTGGCCCAGGTCTCCCCTTTTTGCAACTCAGTGCCTAAACATAAGAACATTCAATCTCAGTGTAGCAAATAGAAAACCTTATTTCATTAAAAATGGGAGGACTAAATTTGATGACTTACGGACTCATTGCAATATGTGTAGCAGATGTTGTATTTCCAGCAATCACTGCTTCCGTACACTGGCCGTGTCCAGCTCAATTTCAGGTAGTCTCCTTCTTCTGTGACCTTCGGCTTTAGGGAGGGTACCACTGAGGACATTGCAAGAGGACAATTTTATGTTAACTTGTACTTGGCAGCAAAAGAAAACAAGATTCATTTACTGGTTCTGAAAGTATTTTAACAGACAATCATCTATATTTATTTTCACAACACCAGTAACAAACAATTAGAGGTCACACCAACCAAGTTCAGGTTTAAAGGTGCTCATTTTAGCTTCAGTCTCCACAAGGATGCAGACTTCCTCAGGGGGAGCATCAGTGTGCATCTCACAAACATTCCTCTTTCCATCGCTGAAAGGCCGATCACACTTTTTGAAAGTTTTCAGACTTTCTTCCAAACATCCACAAATGCTGTAATGACAAAATGGGGAGGTGATAAGAGAAGTTACAGCTAACACACAAGCTTTATTCAAAGTATTTCATCTAAATAAAAACAATACAAAATTGCTTTTGGTTCATTCGGTTTGTCCTCACTGTTCTGAGAGCCACTATGGGTCCTCCAGTTCCTTCAGTTGCCACTAGATGTCAATAAAGCTCATGGATTATCTGCTGCTCTTACTAATGAGTCATGTATCAATTTGGACTGATGAATGATTCTGAATTGTGTTACTAAATTTAAAAACACCACCAGCCCTGAATAAAGCATGAAAACATCCCCATGTAGGCTTTTTTTCAGATACTGGATTCTTGGAAGATACACAAACAAAAAGTTCGCTAGAAAGGCCATAAGGACAAAGTGGGCTGACGATGATTCACCTTCCGTTTAATCGCGGAAATCTCTGATATTTGATGTTATCACTTTAGAGGAGCTGAGATACCATATTGGTGGGGGGGATAGCCTTTGTAAGAAATTGGGAGAAACCACTCGATCTTCTAGTAAGTACAGTTTGGCATGAAGATGAGCTCAGGGATTGTTTTGTTCATGTACGACCATTGTTTAATACATCTGTGGTCTGTATGTCTCTGGTGACCAGATGAATGCTGTGTGGCTTCCTGTAACAATTACACAGTACGAGTTTCTTTTGGAATTTTTTATATATAAATATAGTAGCTAATCGATATGGCATGCATAATGTTCATGCAAATATATCTTATATTCAATACTACTCTTTTGCCAAAACTTAGTCGTTTTTGAATAATAGGCAACGATTTGCCTTTTGCTGGTCCCAACATCATTTATCATGACTTGACCGAAATGGAGAATTTCAACAACCAATCAAAACCTTACTGCACATATCTGTATTATTTTGGTTGTTGCTGTAATTCTCACCTATAGAACATGTTCAGGGTTAGAGACGGATTTGTTGGGATCCAGGAACAGTTCATTTCTTTGGAGGAGATGAAACATTTGATGTCCTTCACCAGTTCAGCTGTCAGGTACAAAAGCAAAGGTGTCACATACATGACATGTAACAAGATTCAAGTATGGCTTTAAAGCATCATAACACAGGACAATGTAAATACAAAACATTTACTGTCATTTCAGTGTTCTGCTTCTCACCTCGGGTCTTAGGGGAGTAGATGGTTATGTTGGCGGGTGTACTCTCATTCGATGGTTTACAGTCTTCACTGAAAGTCTGAATGCTGAACGTCCAATGACCATAACCCTTTCCCTCTTCTTCCGTGAGTAAACTCACTGAGTAATTTCTGTGGGGCGTCTGAGCCAGCTGAGGAAAAACAACATTGGCTTTAATGACCATTATGCTACCACATATTGAAATGCTTCATCTTCCGCATCCAACCATTTCGATGTTTGAATCCTTTACATGGGATTTTTTTCATCTGTTGCAATGAATACACAACAGTGATTATCACACTGCTTTAATCTTTTTTGCTAATATTTTCTTCTGTTTTTGGCATATTATTTGTCCTCTGGGCTTCATTTAAAAACATAGATGATTTACTGTGGTTTCACAATAAATCATAGTTTGTATATTTATGTGTGTGACAATGGGCCTCATCAAACACAGACTCCTCTCTTACTTTTCCTGTTGTTGTTCCCGTGTTTGGAGTCAGACTCACCAAATGCTCTTAACATGTTAAAGGATCCATTTAACATAATGAAAGCCTTCTGTTCACATGGAGGTGTCATTCATAATAATGTGATACAAGAGAAGCGTGGAACTTCAGCTTCTGCTTTCAAAAATACTAGTGTCGTAAATTTGGCAGCGGTTCCCAACCTTGTTCCTTAAGGAACCCCTGAACTATCATTTAGTGACGGCCCCTGCTTAAGTGACATATTTTATGGATATTCCGTATTATATTAAAAACTGTACACTGAACCCAAACAGTGAACTCAGTAACTGCAGTAAGTTTGTGTAAAGGAGTGATCTGGATGAATTTTGAGCTCTATTTAGGAAACTTTTTATACAATTCTCTGTCTGTATTATGTATTTTTATCATTTTAACCATCATACATAGTCTACTTAATAGGCTTCGTTTTCGACGGATTGTCAGTGTTTTCTTCTCATTGTTCTATTAGCTCTTTGGTTGTTTGAGATCTTCTAATGCAGGGCGAGGCAGTTTATCACCAGCTTGTATTCAGCTCTTCATCTTAGCATCTGAAATAACAATTTAGTTAACTTTACTTTTACTTTTCTTTTCAAGAATGAACAAAATGCGGAGACTTAGGCCTACTGTGTATATCTTGTAAGTTTTATATCATATATCCCTGAAAATCAAGAAGGCTTTGAATTGAAGTTAAATGCTAAAAATGTCTTTCTAGGTAAAGTGGTCAATACGAGAGGCAGTCACAGGGACATGGCAGTCACTGTAAATGAGAGAATATTACAGCCTACAGTAGGTGATGTTACACTGTCAGGTGTTACAGAGGATGCTAGCGGACAGAGACCAGCATAAAGACCCTGTAAATGTATACATTTGCTTTGCCAATAAAAATCAGACAAATCATCTAAAGTATCTCCCAGTTGAACGGGCAGCCACGCTGATAATATTGTAATCAGAATATTCATTTTGCATTTAGTTCTAGTTCATTACTAGGGCTGGGTATTGTTAAGAACCTCAGGATTCGATTCGATTTCGATTCTTTAGGTCACAATTCGATTCGATATTGATTTTAAATGCTTCGATATCGATTCGATATCGATTCGATTCGATATTGATTTTAAATGCTTTGATATCGATTCAGTAAAAAGTAAATCACAGCTTCGGGACAGTGACTTCCGTCATATGTTTGCGTGTTGGTATGGCGTATCGTGGTTTGAGTGTGTATACCATCTTCTTATAACCCCTGTATTCCATGACACTTTACGGTTGTAGGTCCTTGCATATGAAGACGGCCACAGACTCCGTTATCTTCTGTGCGTGGGCAGAGTTTGGCGGCAGTTTGCAAAGGAAGGATCTGTCGAGGTGCGTCTGTTTTGAACCCACAGATTTAGCCGCGGGTTGCTACAGATCATCTGCATGGTGTCGGCTTAAGTGGTTGCGCAATTTTGTTGTGTTATTGCAGTATTTTAGTACTGCCTGGCACAACTTACACACTACCTTACTTTTGTCTATTTCCTGTGTTCAGGGTTTACACTGCTTTTAAAGTTGAAGGCGTTGGTTTAACACTGCTGCTACCTGCTTCAGTTGCCATGTTGTTGTTGTGTGGTCGAGTGCGGCCTCCGTCAGTACAACACAAATCACACAAAGGTCTTGCTCACCACGCCCGCACTGGCCAGGGGCTTGAATCGAATCAGAGGATTTAATGAATTGATATTGAATTGGGAAAAAATATATTTCAATGCACTGATGAATCGATATTTTTACCCACCCCTATTCATTACGACATCATATTTAAAGCTAACTTTTATAATGGCATTTGCAAGTAGATGACACTCAAAAATCTATTATTTTTTTCTTGCTCTGATTGGTTGTTTCTGTTCAGGCCCGGGGGATTGCAAATCCAATTAGAAGTACAAGAACGTGTCGGAGGAACCAGATTTTTTTCACAGACTATCTGTCCCGTGTGCTACTGTCAGGACATAGTCAAAGTTTCAGCAACTATGACAAAAAATGTTTTTTTTTTAAGTTACCTACTGCAGCTTTAAACCTTAGATTAAGATAGTATGACCTGAAAGACAAATTAGTGTTTTCCCAATGGGGAGAAATGATCAATGCATGACTCATACAACAGGTCTGGATCACTTTGTAGTCTAGATTTTATTTTACCATTTTTCAGGCACATGTGTGAGAGGAATATTTTTAGGAATGTTCAACTGTAATGCCAAAGATTCTAAGATCACACACTATGTTCAGATATGTTTGAGCATGTGTTTTCCATTAAGCCAAATGAGTATACTGCATTCAGTGTGTGTTGTTGCCAAAACAGAAAGGGCTATCTTGAATACCATTTTTGGGGCTCTGGAGCTTCAGAGGGTATGTGCGTGTGCTGAGCATGACTGTGTGTTTTTTTTTACTTTTTACTCCAAAACTCATCATGGAATACCTACTCAAAGACTGAATATATGAATAGTTGAATATTCTAGTAGTAGTCCTGTAGCGTAGTCACAATCTTATCAACATATCTGTAGCTTATAAATGCGTGGTTTTCAATAGCCGACTCTAAAATGTGGACAGCAGAGATTTCTTGAATACTTCTAAGAAAGATTTTTCAGAAAAAGACTAAGTGGTTCCTTCTCAATGAATGAATGAAATGAATACAATGTAATATATTACATTAAGTGAGAGCAAAATAACTATAAATAACTTATGGGCTTCAAGTGGAGGTAATTCTCCACTGACATTGCTGCAACCTGGGGACCCCAGGACGCCTCACAAATACCCAAGACACCCAGTTTCATCATGGTCCTTACCTTTCCTTTATGATTCGTAATTTGGTACTTGGTAGTGTTGTCTGGCAGACCCATGGGTCTCTTCCAGGATATGTTCACAGTAAACGGGTCCAGCCACTTGTATGTCAGGTCTGTCGGTGGAGGACACCCATCTGTGGGACGAGAGATTTAAAAAAGTGCAATTAATTTCACCTTTTCAGAATGAATGATACTGTCAGGCTGGAAGAATCACAAGAGGCTATCATTACCCTCAGTAAAAATAATAGAAGATAATAATTTCCAATTTCAATCTTTTTTCTTGTTTGTGAAATGCCCTGTAGAATATTAGCCTAACAATTTCTTAATTTGCACCATTAAAACACAATATTGCATTAACGACTTCACAGGTTTCAAAACGACCCGCGTTAAACTTGAATTTGTAAACAGAAGCCAAAAGATATCATAAAATAAAACTTTTCAAGTACTCACAACTAAATTCACTCATCGCAATACAAATGTAGATATAAAATACATGTTTTGAGAAAATCAAGTAAGAAATAACTGTAAACTCAATGAGCTTTGGAACGTACACATTTCCTCACATTTGACTTTTTTAAACCTTTTTCTTAGATTTCTTAGATTGGCTGAAAATTTGGGTGGATTCCTTTGCAAAAATGTTCTTGTCATGTAAGACTATAATGGTTAGTATGGTCAGTTAGACTATTATGGACTGTTATAGTTAGTAATATTTCATATGGTTATCAAGAGACAGAGTAAGAATTAATTTGAATTTTTAAAAAGAAGAAAACTGTTCACAAGACATCAAAAAGGATGAAAAGTCGTTTTTTTGGCCACTTTGGGTTAATGTATCTTTCTATGTGTATGAGGACCATTCTTAATATGATGTTAGAAGTTTCAGCTAACCTTATTAAGGAAGATGTCTATGTTTCTATTGAGGTTTCTCCACAAATGGCCATTGACATCTTTAACAACCTCAAAAGAGATCTGGGAATCAAATGGAAGTTTCCGTTACCCTTTAGTGAAATCACTTTGAGTCTGTTTTGGCATCATACTGGCACATTTGCAACCAAACATATTCCATATCAAGTTTTGTAGTAAACACGTTTGGTAGTTAAATTTACCAAATAATCTTTTTTTAACCACTGTTAAAAGCTAGAAAATTCCATTATTGAGCAACACCAATATTTGTCACTCAAACGCGCCAGAAAGGGGCTTTTGGAATGTAATTTACATTTACAGGACTGACTGAGAGCTCGACTGAATCGACCAAAAAATGAAAGGATCCTTTCGGGAAGTCATTCAGTTAAGTGTGGTTCCCGACCTGGGCGTTGAGACCCCCACTAGGGGTCACAAAAGTTTTCAGGGGGATCGCGAGGCCCACTTAAATAAGTAAATCTCAGTTTTTGGGGGGGCTTTTATTGCCTGTAAATCTGTGTCTAATAGAACGATGAAGTGTCGGGGACAAGAAAACACTCATCCAGATCATTTTTACACAAACTTCCTGCAGTCACTGAGTTACTGATAATGGTACAGTTTTGAATATAATATGAAATATCGATAAAATAGGTCACTTAAGCAGGGGCCTTCAGTTTCCTGAATGATAGAAAATGGCTCCCTTAAGGAAAAAGGTTTGGAACCACTGAACCAAAAGCTTCTATCGTTCACTGACAACACAACAGCAACAACTGAGTTACTGCCGTGTGGAAGGCCTGATAGAGATCACTCTTTTGCATGCTTATATTGAGCTAAATCGCACCAACAAAAGAGATAAATACATGCGTATGGACCTCTACAGAAAATGAGAAAATCTAGCCCTAATAGTGGGTTTTTCTCTTCCTTGTCTACTTTTGTACAATAGCATACTTTTCAGAGAAGCAGTAATGGTGCTCAATGAAGGACTGTAATGTGTGTGTGTGTGTGTGTGTGTGTGTGTGTGTGTTAACTGGAAGTCTTGGTCACTGTTTTTTATGACCATATGAAATTCAGAGGCAGGGGACACTGGGACATTTTATGTCTTCCTGTGATTAATTCTCCCTCCCCTTGACCAAGACTGTGGCCCTAGCCCTAGAGCTGGCCCTGGAGCCTAACACTTGGTACAGGTTGGGTTGCTGTGCATAGTACTGTGTGTGAGTGTGACGCAAACTTGATTTGATTCTATGGGCGAAAGAATCAAACAGTTCAGATCAATACATCGACTATACTATATACAACTAATTAAAAGAGAGTTTATTTTAAATGTATTTAGATGTTCTGAAACTGTCTGTCTGTTTTACTACCTTTAAAGCACAGCCTCGAGGGAAAATAGTGACCATTTTGCTCATTTCTACATTATTAGAGAGCCAATATCTTCCAACATGTAGGATATTTTTAATGAAAAACATACAATTGATAGCCAAAAGGGTTCATGAACGTTCGACTTTCAATATCCTTGAAATGAATGTGTCCTTTGCAATGACAGGTAAGTTACCTTTAATTCCCCCCCAGTGTTTGAAGTGCGTCATAAATACCTGCTAATTGAACTTTGGTATTAAGCTAGCTACGTGGTCGACTGAAACCACAAGAGGTAATACTTAATATAAAATGTACCTGTAAACACCATCATCGTGACGGAGTATGTGAGGAAAAGTCCAAAAAAGTCCTGAAAGAAAGGCATATTGTCCTCGCTCGTCAGCGTTTATTCCGTGTAAAAAAAAAAAAACAAAACCAAAAAACCCCCTCGGTCCCCTCGCGCAGTCTTCCGAGAAAAAGAGGTAAACTTATGAGACTTTGTGTGACGGCGCGAGACGGGCACGTAAAGGAGACAACAAGTCTCGAGCATCTGCAACCAGATTGAGCGTCGTCCCTGGAGTGTACCGGGAAGAGCGGCGGCGGGGCGGAGTCGCGGTGAGAGCAGGAAAGCTAAAGTGACAGACCGGGAATGACAACAACCTTCTCTCACTTCCCCAAACAGCGTGTGCCCCAAAAGACTCCCAACCGTGCAATAAAACGATGTCCGAAAACAAGCTGCCCATGAGTGTCTCTCCCCTAATAAAGGCAGATTACGCATGCGTGTGAGCTTAAGTGCAATATCCCAAACCTCAAGTCTCCATCCATTCTTCCAGGAAATCAGGCTCTAAATGAGTTTGTGAATCATTACACTGATTATGTGTATGGTAATGGCTTTATGCAGCAACAAAGAGCACAGAGTGGACAAACTGATGGTGCAAGGCCAAGAAAAACACACAGAGGAAACATACTGTATATCTGATCCCCGGCTGTGTCCCAACCCTGTTACACTAAAGGATGAGCGGGGAGCTTGATGCACTGTATGAATGCAAGATTTCACTTGCCTCTTACAAAAAAGTACACTATGTGGTCTTAAGTATGGGGAGTATTTTTTGTACTCTGTCCGAGGCTGTTTTTCATAGTTCTGAGTTAATTATGTTAATTAATGTTAAATAAAACATTTAGGATGATTTAGAGGCATATTTTCATTAGTGTGTAATCACCTAAAAATAAGATTTCTTGTTATTTTGTTACCTTAGAATAAGCTGTTTTTATCTACAGAAGCAGTGGGTCCTCTTCCACGGTGGCCAACATGTTGAACCGCCATCCAGTTTCCAGACCTGTTTTGATGGAAGGGGCACATATGGGGTGCTGACTTATGCAGGGCCGGCATGTGTCTCAGCTTTCAAGTCATTCCCAATTCATGCAATTCCAATACTGTTTATGGATACCAGTATGCAGAAATATTCAAATACACTAGGCGAAAATAACATATTTATACCACATGCAAAAAAACTGCATGGTTTTTGCACCAAAAACTGCCTGAGATTAGCATAAAGTGGGCACGTCTGCCACGGGGAGACTCGTGCCTACCCATAACACAAATTGTGATTCAGCTAGAGGTCAAGGGATCCCTTTGAAAATGTCCATGTCAGGTTTTCCAACGCCCACATTTGCTAGGCATGGTTGGTAACAATTCATGATTTAATACCAGTATTTTCACTCAAGCTTTAAAACTGAGCCCGCTACAGCCTCTGAAAGACAGTGTGGAGTGGAAGAGGTAAGGATGATGGGGTGGCACTTGGGGTGGCCACTCAGCCTGTGGTTAGTGCCACCCCAGACCCCCTCCTGGAAACACCCCTGAGCCCAGAACGGACGAACCAAACGCTGGCTCTAAAGAGGGGCTTTTTAGTTTCTCTTACACGACCAGGATGAGGCGAGGGGTTGCAATCTGCACTGCTAAATGCCACTAAATCCTACACACTGGAACTTTAAAGGGGTATTCCAACAGTTTTGTATACAGTTAGTCATAACGTTGGGGGGCTCACAAGCAGTGGTCCAAGAAGAACTCTCAATAGTTTTCCCAGGTTTTATTGTAAAAAGGCATTACAAAGTAAGTTTGACAAGCAGCTGCACCTCAGTATACAATGAAATAAAAATGAAAAAAATCTCTCTGCTAGGACAGCTCTGGACTAAACAACAGTCCAAAATGTTCTCAAATATAAATACATACATACATACAGTACGTACAAACATACATGGGTACAGAATTCACTTTACAGCATGACAACAAATTATTTACATTTGCTTAAATATTATTCATCTATCTGCTAATTACAGTGTAGCACTTGTGAAATACTGTGAATAACCAGAGCATGATGAAGGTCTTATTACTGAGATAAGGGGGTGATTTTAGAAGGCAGAGCAGAAAGGCACTGGATCTTAACCCAGACGAGGGGAAATGCTTACTCGCTGTGCAGGAGTAAATATTATCACACTGCTGTGATCAGAGTGTCATGTCCTCAAAACCTGTTTCTGACTTCAAAGGCCATCAAATGAGCCCATAGAGAATACTGTTTCAATGATTGTTATACAGCTAGGATAGAATTTAACATCATTATCTTTTCTTTCCTGGTATGAAATGATTCATCACCTCTAATACAATCCAGAACATTATTTCAAACTATTGTTATTGAGCTACTTTTAAACAAAGCAAACTGTAAGCAGCTTTATCACACAGCTTTAATACAACCCTGAGGTCTGTCTTTTCTTTTCTTTAAGTCTGGAACAGACTGAGAAGGCTTTTACATTTGTCATTAAACAAACAGGGTAGAAACTTTGGCCCGGTGCTCCCTATAAGCTGCTGCTTTTTAATGCGTGACTTATCTGTTTATCACAATCTGTTACCCTGGCTGGAATGCGCTCCTAGCCTATAAACACCCTTGGCCTGACATAGTATCTCAAGGCTTTTGGTTTTGGAGCCTGTTACAACAAAACCGGTTGAGTTGGGATATTGCTTACCTTGCAGGCCAGACATGAACGTTAGGCCAAAAACAAAACAAAAAAAACCCACTGTACTGGCACAGCTGCATAAATCTGAACGTGGCAGAGAGAGGACGGAAAAGATTGCTTTAGTACAATATCTCCCTCTGAAGGAACAACAGTCAGTCCAGTTTATCGCAAAGGCAGAAAAAAAAAAAGTGCAATGCAACCTTGCATGACTCAGCATAACACCTCAACCTGACATGCCCACATTCAGTTGGTGTTGCTGCGATACATTCTTAGAAAATACTGCTGCTGTGGTTTGAATATTATATCCGGCTGCTGTGCTGCCATCTTTCAGCCTGACCATTTACTGCCCCCCTTCCTCCCAACCGGCAGAGATGCCGGAGATAGCCAAATGACATCTTTGCCAAGAGGGGGGGGAAGGGTGTTTTGGGAAGTGTAGCAGACATGAAAGAGTTGCACCTGTTATCACCCAGTTCAGGTCCTAATGGGAGAAGTGAAAGGATATACATAAGGGGAAGGGGAGGGGGAGGTCCGGCGGTACAGAGGTCAGCCCAGGTCTGTGGACGTCCCGCTGATGGCACGAAACACATGGAGGGAGTTTTGTAACAGCGAGCGCATCATGTCCTCCTGGTAGATCTGGGGGTCAAAGCAAAACACAGGCAGGATGAGTGTCAGTCCTCACAGAGGGGGGCGGAGGTCACACGCACTTACACCAAACAACCACACACACTGTTTGAATTGCATGGTAGGTATGTGACAAGCCGAATGTACAGTAAGAGTGTGTAATGTGTAATGTGATGAAATAAAACAAAGCTACGAAAGTATTATTATATAACAATTGCAACAAACATAAATATGAACAAGACATCCACACACAGTCTACACAGTATTTGTTTATTGCTGTCCCGCTGTCCTCGCACCACATATTCTGTTACATTCTTATCAGTATTTCTCTCATGTCTGATTATTGTTTTGGTTTGCCCTTGCGTGGTCAACCACTGTGGCAGCTGACAATCGCACCTAATTCTTTAGATAATTATTCTGTTACAATCGCTGTAGAACGATAGGGAGGTCGAGCCAGCAGGTTTCCAACGTGGCAAGTTGAGTTTATACTGCCAGTTGTATTTATTCCAACCAACAGCTGTTCCAGCAGCAGAAATGTATAGTAAATTGTCCATGACTTCTTGCACTCCTCCTAACTTTTGGGGCAATGGTGTTAAAGAAAACATGTACGTATGTATGTCATTAAAATCAAAAAGCCCAGAGGGAAGTATCTGATCTGAGCGATGCCAACACTTTCATTTCAGGGTTTCATTTCACACTGCTTGTGTAACACATCATTTCACATGTCGCACAGAATGTTTCATTGACACGTTGTCATAAAGTCCTCCGAAGGACCGAACAGGTTGCCAGTCAGGCAGCAATTACAAAATGTTTCTTCATTTATTTCATCCTCATCTCACATCACATTTAATAATGAAAATAAGAAAAATGTTTCAGTTGCTTTTCAACACTTTTTAAAAACATTTATTAAAAATACACATTCTTAAAAATGGTTATAAGTTAGTTAGAAAGTCATCTGATGAAGGCCACAAGCTGAAATGTATCCAAGTGTTGTTTTGTTCTCTTCAGACTTGCTAGTTATAAGTCATGAACATGAACACTGTTTTACACACTCAAGTAGATGTATGCACTTTTAAGTGGTCACGTTTTTTTAGTCAGCGGGCATTCGCCCCTGCTCTGTCTGAGCCTAAATAAAACCAGGCTCAAGTCTGTTGAACGTTCCCATAGATGTGCGACTCCACAGTAACCAGACCTCAACTAAACATCTCTGAGAACATTTACAGTAAAAAGAAGAAAGACCAGACATTTGGTAAAATTACAAAGCACTCTGGGGGAGATCTAAGGGAAAACTAGAATTGTGTTGAAACTCTACTTGCTTACAATGAGACTACAGGACTCATCGCTGAGTGTTTATATGTATGCCTGAGTTATATCTGGATATTTTATTAGGGATATGCTTGAGTATATGATTCATCATCTTCATCTAGTGTGTTTTCCACTGTTTCAACATCCTAATTTTTGTTGTTTCTGTACCACATCTATGAGCAGGAAATGACCCCTGCTTCCATTCATGGCTGACTTCACTTCACTTCACTTCTTTCATTTTCTAGTGGACAGCTTCTACAACCTAAACTGCATAACCTGACACTAAGAAGTGGATATCTGTCGGTCTTCTGGTTTATTTTTAGACATAACTCTACTACCAGGAAGTAGTTTTTACAGGTTGGCATGCACATGTTCCAACCCTGACAAAAACACGACTGTGTCTTCACGCAGAATTTAAATAATGACATGGTCTCATTTGCATTGTTTTCAACACCATCTGTGGTGCTTGTGTTGGCCATAATCTGAAATGGAAATAGCTTTTCATGTGTCTCAGTGATCTGAAAGGTTTGCCAAATGTCTACCACATCTGAGAAAAACCTCCTTTAACCCCTGAATGTCTTGTTTCCATTTAAATGCTTTTTGCCTGATTAATTCTCTTTTCTTGACACTTGCTGGTGCAGTGTTCAACATCAAGTGGGATGTAAAAGCCTGAGGCCTTTACAATGAAGTAGGATACATCTCGTGTCCAGCAGGAAGACTGTGTTTATATGTCATAATGTCTTTAACTAAGATGGTGCAAATTCACAGTGAAT